TATCATTTAATAATGATAAACAGCAAATACTATAAGTAAAACTTAACAGCCTTAGGCTTTGTGCTTAAAGCATGCATTTAGTTCCATAAAAGTGTAATACCTGAATTAACATAAGCAGTGTCAAAGCACAAGCCTTTGACATTTTTAACAATGTTCCATCGATTCAATGCTTTGACTATAGTTTTAGCTTGGTTAAATCCTGTACCACTATCTAATTTAGGGACCCCTAGTAGTTGCTCATAATTGAGACCAGATAAAACAATTGGAAGCCTGTCAACTTTATGCGGTCCACCACAATCTGGGAGTAATTTACCATCCCAGTGTAATATTACGTTGTCAACAATTAAACTATTTTCTTTAATATCTGCTGCCACCATTTTTCTCATTTTAATATGTTCTCTATGAATCACTCTATGGCTAATATTAATTTTTGTAGGATCATGACCCAAACTTTTAGCGGCAGCAACTAAAATATAAGTAGCATTTCTGCTGGAGATATTTGATCTGTCCAAAGCTGATGTCAATTCTGGGGTCATAATATTGATTTTTTTCTTGTCATTTGAGTATTCAGAAAGTTCGTCCTCAAAATTGGATATTGTCCGTTTTAGTGCTCCAGAACAAGAGCTCACTTCTTCAAAAGAAATAGATGTACTAGATAAAGCTCGACTTAAGGCTGAAATTTTTTTGTGATTAGATTTTTAATTAACAAATTCTATAGAATTTGTTAGTTAAACTAGAAACTATAAGAATCAATATATTGATATACATATGTTGTGAACACCTCGTCTTCATAATCACATAAAGGCGTATCTCATATTTTAAATATTGACACAAGTTTTTAGCCTACCTATTTAAATTATTTTTTGAGGAAAAAAGTGCTATTATAGGTATTACAATAAATGTACTACCTATTTAGTAGCACTTTTTTTTTAAGTAATTAATTTAAATTAGTTTAAACCTAATTGTAAAATATGAGATACGCCCTTATGTGATAATGGAGACAATATGTGCCATTCATAATGAAATTAAAGTTATATATTTAAACCCGTAATAATTACCATTTTTATCAACGACATTTTCTATTGACTCTAAAGGGGGTTCGTTATCTTCTACGTTAATTGATAAAGATATATGTTGACCTTTATTTTTTCGCACTAATGAAAAAAGTTGTTCAGGAGATAACTCTTGAGATGATTTTTTCTTTAATCGAACATCGAATAATTTATTCAATTTATCAGTAAATTCCTTTATTTTTGATATGTGAAAAGCAGAGTGTTTTTTAAATCGACTTTTATTCAAATTTCTCCACTCTATAAAAAGTGACTCCAATTTTTTGGTTACATGTTGACTTCTTTCAAGTGGTACATCTATAATACTCCAAATATCTTGAACTTCTTTTATAACTTCCGTAGCACTTGACCGAATACTTTTTTTTAAAACCTTATATTTAAACATAAAATAATTTAAAACTTCACTGTTATTTGGGAGTTTACATCGAGTCAAATTATTATTAAAAGCACCCAGTAGGTAGGCAGTATTTAAACTATTTTCTGACATACCTAATATCTTTATTTCAAGAACTAAATTAATTAATTATACGCACATGTACTTATGTAAATATAAACTCAAATTTTAGAATCAGAGCTGTCAGTTCACTAAAGCACTGTTTTTCATGGCCATCTTCATGTTTTAAACATATTGTTTTTTATTTCAAAGGTAACTAAAAGAAACTGTGGGTGTCATGGTAAGATGCCTGCTTGCCACGCAAGAGTCCCGAGTTCGGATCTCACCTACGCAAATTTTTTTTATTTCATTATTTTTTTTATTTTTAATTATGCATAAATAAATGTTTCTTTAATACATTATTATAGACATTTATTTCAACAGTTGAAATTATATTAAAATTATCAGCTTTTATAGGTATACCAGCATTATTGCAATATTATTATATCAATTAAGTTAAAAATGTTAAAAAAATAAAATAAATTACTAGTTTAATCATTCCGCAGGCTTTTGCTGATACAATACTAATACCGATATTTATAAAAGGTATCGCCGCATCGATACCTATAGTATAGGTCCTATACAGTTAATTTAATTTCACAGAATGTGTAAATAAAATAATGCATGGTAGGTATATACGTTTTATTTAGATATACATATGTCGACTCTAATATTTCTTTAGATCATAAAGTTTCCCTAAAAAATTAAATCAATGAGTTTTTTTTGTAAAATAATTTTTTATATTTATTTAACAACACATATAAATATATTTTTGTTTAAAAATTTGCTCTTTTTAGCTTAAAACAAAAACGTGGGGGATTTTTTAAATTCGGTTAGAGGTCATTTTTGTAGGGAATTTAATTCTCTACAAAACCATATAACGATATTTTTTGTATCTGTTATATTTAATGAATTATAAAACAAAAAGTTGCGAAAAAAAATTTTTTTCATGAAAAATTCTTATTTAAGCGAGCGCTAACTGAATAATGGAGATATGGGGCTAAATTTTTGACACAATTATTTTTTTATGATATACAACCTAATTTTCGTATGGGACCTAAGAAAAAAAAATATTCGTTTAATTTGGCACAGTCTAATATATATATAATATTATCCGGGTATACCCGGATTTGCACATTTACGGTTTTATAATAATAATTACCTGCCTACTTTCTAAATTCATTCAACAAAAATGTTAGTTTTAACTTTGACATAAGATATTTTAGCTTAAAATAATTAAAATATTTAAATTATTTTTTTATTTTACCAAATAAATATTTAAAACTTAAATTACGTAAAAGTCGTTACCTACCTTTGTGTTTTATGACTCGAAGAAAAAGGAATACCTACCTACCTACAAGTGCATGATCTACATTAACCTTACACAACTATTCGCTCTGGTATTTTAATGGGCTTACGAATTAGTAGGAACATTAAATTAACAAAATAGGTAGTAATAGACTATAAACCGTTTATTATTCTGCAAAGCACAAATCTAGGGTTTTTGCTTATTTTAACACACTTTTTATTAGAACACAAATACAGGGTGTCTATTTAAAAACGAGCAATACTAAAAAATTTCTTAAAACCGTTTCTAAGATATGTGGGATTGTCTTTGTAGACCTTGTTGCTATAAATATTATCGTTCTTTAAAAACTAGATTTTTGCATTTTAATAGGTAGTACGTAAATCCCGTACGGGATTTGGTTTCTAAATAAAATCTAGTTTTTAAAGAACGACAATATTTATAGCAACAAGGTCTACAAAAACAATCAACAGATGATTGACAACCTAAAAAATAACATCTATTGAGTTATTAATGAAATTGAATAACTATTGTGCCAAATTTTGCACAGAGAACACTTAGAAGTAGACATAAACAGCCAAAAGATAAATCTATGTCTATAATGTCTATCTGGCATAAATATTATGCCATATTATTATTTATTAATAAGTATTTGTCGAAACCTTGAAATTAGCCAGTTTTTTCGCCTAAACAATTTTCACTGTCGCAACCTTTGATTTGCAAATAGGAAGTAGTAGCTGGGGTCCAGATCTGGCGAATATAGTAAGTGTAAAACCAATTGGTATACTTTTGCCATATTACCCATCATAGTAAAAAGAACTTTTTTAATTTGAATTTTTTTCCTAGAACTAAACTTTTAGTAATTTATTTCCTTACATTGGATGGATTGCACCCGCTGCTCTGCTCAACTATGGAGGTAGACAGTAACTAGCAAAAAATACAAAAGTTATTAATGAAATTGAATAACTATTGTGCCAAATTTTGCACAGAGAACACTTAGAAGTAGACATAAACAGCCAAAAGATAAATCTATGTCTATAATGTCTATCTGGCATAAATATTATGCCATATTATTATTTATTAATAAGTATTTGTCGAAACCTTGAAATTAGCCAGTTTTTTCGCCTAAACAATTTTCACTGTCGCAACCTTTGATTTGCAAATAGGAAGTAGTAGCTGGGGTCCAGATCTGGCGAATATAGTAAGTGTAAAACCAATTGGTATACTTTTGCCATATTACCCATCATAGTAAAAAGAACTTTTTTAATTTGAATTTTTTTCCTAGAACTAAACTTTTAGTAATTTATTTCCTTACATTGGATGGATTGCACCCGCTGCTCTGCTCAACTATGGAGGTAGACAGTAACTAGCAAAAAATACAAAATGCATTTATTTGTGCTTTGTGCCTGTGTTTCTTAATACAACACAGACATGCAGTACACTAGATAGCTATCTCATATAAGAAATAAACATATCCTCATAAGTAAAAAAAAACAATTAAAACCTATTGCTTTTTAAAAACATGTAATTTTTGCTAATTTCCCACAAATTTCTTGTTTAGTTGCTGCCTTTCTTCATAGTTGGGCAGTGTTCTCCAAACAGCTTACGATTTTTTTTATTAAGGGGTATGGAGTGATGTATTAATTTTTATTCTATTAAACCATATCGCATTTTTGTGCTCCAAACAGCTAAATAATCAAGACGTTGTTGTTTTTGGGCAATTGTGGGGAAACAAAGCATTCGTATGCTCTTCGAAGATAGATCTATTACTCGTTCGTTCTCTTTGTAGAGAACTGGCCTTATGTCGTAATGAACTCATATTGACATTTGGTTTCTAACCATTTCCCGACAAAAATCTAAAAATAAAATAAAGTAGAACATGCTTTGAAAATAACTTAATATTATAATAATCACTAGAAGCTTCTAGCTAGCTCATTGCCGATAATTATAGCGTTTTTATTTCGATGAGCAAACTATCAAATAAATTGTCAGAAAATGTTCTGTTCTGAAATTAGTCGAAAAAATGGAAACGGATTTTTAAGATAAACTATTAATTTTATTAGGGTAACTTAAAATTGCATTTATAACGCGGAGTGCGGATAAATAACTGGTATCATTATGTACTTAAGTTATCTGATAAATGTTCTAAAATTATATAAATGCAAAAATAGCAAATAAATACAACAATTGTTTTTCCGGTAATACGTACCTACCTATCCAAAGTCTTTACCATGTCTGTAGTAATCAGCCTGGGCAACTTTGATGGAACAGAAAAACTTGACTATGAAGATACAGTTGCAAAAGCTTTTCAATTATTACAAACTGTTACAGAAACTGTAAGTAATGCTGTAATTTTTAAACCTTAAGATAAATATTTTCATAATGTTTTAAACGGCAATTTATTTAATATATTTATTTTAGAGCTCTTATTCTACGTCATCTCCTAATATACGAATTAAATGCGTCAGAATTTGGGACCTTTGGAATGATGGAACCAACGGACAAGCACAAATTATTCAGGGAGGGCCAGGATGGAACTCCGTCAAAGTCCATTATCAATCCCAATTTGGTAGGGGCATGAAATTTAAATTGCAAGTGTTTATTTAAAATAATGTATATTATAAAAATAATTTAATTTTTTTAACACCTTTGAAAAAAATTTTGTAATCCTTTTGAAATATGCTAGCTCTTTGTGTAAAAATGTATGTGAAAAAAGTTGTGCTTGATGATGATAATAATATGTATAAAAAGTATTCAAATTAAAAGTTGCTGTTATTTGTTTTCTACACAATCAAACAATTTTGGCGAGAGTTTAAACTTTATAAACATATTGCAAATTATTGACATATAATGGTAACCCTTATAACCTCCCCGCCTAAGAGAGGGAATAATGAACTCATTATTTACGTTGTCAGACATATATGCCTGACAACGTAAATAAATATATGATTGGTCGATTTTAAATTGGAAAAAAGTGAGGTTGGAATCAAATGTAAGATTTTTTTTTAATAAATACTTAGTTTTTAACCAAGCTAAAGGCCATCCCCCCCTGAAGAAACGGAGACGTTTTTTCAGATCAAAGAAGAAGAAGAATAAATACAAGGGGCGATCTCTAAAATCGGGATAAAGTGAGGTCATAATAAATTTTGTTATCAATGGAAATTACGTAATTGGAGTATAAAAAGCATAGTATTACACTCGAGATAATGCGATAGTATATAATTATTAGAGATGGGATATTTAGGTACTAAAAACTGAAAAATAGGTAACTAAAAAGGTACTTAAAAAAAGCATTTTAGGTTAAAAAAAACAGCATTTTAGGTAAAAAAAACTTCATGTTTCGTTTATAATTTTGTTTAGCAGCATACCAAAACACAGAACATACCCACAATAAACTATTTCTATGCAACTGTGTTTTACTGAGTGACACTCACTACACGAAAGTTCTATGACAGAACATAAGCTCACTACAAAGAAGAAACTATAATGGTCCAGTCATCTAGGCATTTCACCTCGGAATCTAACGGAATAAGCTGAGTTTTGGTACAAACCTTTATTTTAGCATTACAAATGTTGTCTCAAAAGTCACATATGCCAACGTGTGAGCGGCCTTAGATATTCAAGGTCAAAGGTCGTAAAAATCAATTTTTTGAGAATATCTAGTTTTCTCTGCCTCCTATCGTATTTGCAATGATTATGAAAGTTGTAGAGAATAAAATTCTCTACAAATTTTGTTAAAAACATTTTTTTAATTGTCTAATCGTTTTTGAGATAGAGGGCGCAGAGTGTGGTGAGCTCAGCCATATGTACCTTAGCGCAAGGTAAGGGTGAATCCCAATCTATTATACCGTTTTTTAATTAATTATTTATTATATATTACTTAAATAATAATTTAATACCTTATATTAATTTTTATATTTCTTTTAAATCAAATAGTCATTAAATATTACTTACCTTTGACAAACAAATATCTAATTAAATAATGAAGTGAATCATTCTAAATATATTCTAATTTTATTCTAATTAATGATAAAAGCATTTTAAGAAGAAAAGGCATTAAATGAATTTGCCTTGAATATGTAATCTCTGGTCATCTCTTAGATCCAGATATTACTTTTAAAATAACAGACCTGAAAATACTACTGCCCTACTACGGAAAAAGGCAGTAACTACAAAAAACTGCAAAATGCGTTTTCTTGTTCTATGGTAAAGCTATTGACATTTTGTATTCAAAATCAACACAGAAATGTGCTTTTTATAAAAATATTGTTTATGCTAATTTCCCACAAATTTCTTGTTTAGCAGTTACTGCTTTTCTCCATAGTAGGGAAATATAGTGGGCTTGCTATAAATAAAAAGGTTTGGTATACCTAACCTTTTTATTTAAAGCAATTTAAGTTGTGACATATAATATTCGTAATATTTTAAAGGTTAACATGGCTGATTTGTGTTTTATTTGTAATAAGTTACTGAAATTTTTGAAGATATGATAAAGGGGAGAGTGATGATGAGAATGAGTCTGAAATTGCTGGCCAACATGAAGAAGACGAGGATAAAGAAAATGAAGATTAATAATAATACTATTGATATAAATTAAAGCAACATTAAAAAAATATTTTTTTCATTTTTTCCTACCCTGATTCAATTATCCCTTCATTAAAATTAAATTAAAATATAGGATATAAATAAAATATATTTGATTTACAAGAAATATAAATATAAGTATAAGGTATTAAATTGTTTAAGTAATATTTAATACATAATTAATTAAAAAAAGGTATAATAGATTGAGATTCACGATTTACCTTGCGCTAAGGTACGTATGGCTGAGCGCTCCACACTCTGCGCCCTCTATCTCAAAAACGATTAGACGTATAAAAAAATGTTTTTTACAAAACTTGTAGAGAATTTTATGCATTACAAATACGCTAGGAGGCAGAGAAAACGAGATATTCTCAAAAAAACAGATTTTTGCGACCTTTGACCTTGAATATCTAAGGCCGCTCACACGTTGGCATATGTGACTTTTGAGACAACATTTGTAATGCTAAAATAAAGGTTTGTACAAAAATTCAGCTTATTCCGTTAGATTCCGAGGTTGATCCCTTTTTTTGACTAAGATGACTGTACTATAAAGAAAGTTACTGTTACAGTCTGTGACCATAAAAAAAATTCTATACCTTTGAGTTGCACGCCCTGGATAAAATATTGGCGCAAAATTTAAAAAGAACACAAAAAAATAAAATAAGTAAAAATACTTAAAAATAGGTAACAAATAGGTAAAAATAAACTGACAAATTAAAAAATATGTAACAAAAGTATAAAAAGGTAGTTTAAAGCAAAAACCTCCAAAAAAGGTAAAAAAGGTGAAAATAAGTTAAAAAAATAGATAACAAAAGTATAAAAAAGGTAGTTTAAAGCAAAAACCCCCAAAAAAGGTAAAAAAGGTGAAAACAAGTTAGGTTCATATAAAGGAAAATCTTTTAAAACACATTTTGGCATTATTGGTTTTAAATAGTTACATCGGTTGAAAAAAGGTAAAATAACTAAAATCCCATCCCCAATAATTATAATGATATACCATTACCGAGCGTGAAATCTTAGGCGAGGAAAGGAATTCATAGAGGGATTAATTGCAATTCCACGCGAGTAAAACAATGCTTTTTTGTCAAGTAAAGCTAATTTTAATTTTAAAAATGATATTTTATAAAATTAAGAACCACAAATTTAATATTTAAATCTGAAGTTTGGTTAATTTATAAAAACACTTCACATAAAACTGAAAAAATAATTTTATTTTCTAAGGGCGTAATGAATCCATTACGCCCTTTCATGATGCATCGGTTGTTATAGATGCATTTACATATATCGTATCCAAGACGTTATGACAAAATAACTGCTAAGTGAAAAATAAACTTAATCATAAATATATGAATGAAAACAACACTGTTTTAAAGTTTCACTAATTTATTTATGTTTTTAATAATTAACAATTGTTTCGCTACACTGTAGCTTCTTCAGAATTAGTACTAATTCTGAAGAAGCTACAGTGTAGCGAAACAATTGTTAATTATTAAAAACATAAATAAATTAGTGAAACTTTAAAACAGTGTTGTTTTCATTCATATATTAATAATATGGAGTTTCATCAAGTAAAGGTCGAAACAATCAACAAGATAAACTTAATCCTTAAGCCATTAAAAAAAACTAAAACTATAAATAATTTGTGTATGAATTAAATATAGAGTACTAGATTAAAATTGTTAATAAAAGTATATTGATAAACGCCATTTTTAACAAGAATTTAATTTAGGGACAAGCGAGCTTGCGAGCGAGTGCTTAATTAAATGAGTGTCTAGAAAAGTTTACAAGTTGCATACTATACTTTTTTATGACAAATACTTATTAGCATCTAAAAATGATTTAAATTAAATATAAAATAATACAGTCAAATCTAGTTTACTGCCGGCTTTTAAAGGTCAGTAAAACGTTCATATAAACTTTTTAAATATTGGCGTTGTCAAACTTTTTAATACTTTTGTATTTTTTATTAAGATAATAAAATAATTTTTACATTTAGTAATATTTTACAAGAACACTTTATTTTAACAATTGTATGGTATTTGACAACTGTAAACTAACTTAAAAGGCCATAAAGCCATGAAATATGTACGATATTGAGCGTTTTAAAGGTGGGAGTATAAAAAATACATTAGAAACCAGGATGTGCAGGGTGGCCAACAACTTTTTTAGGGTAATTTTGGTAAAAGGAAAATCCAAAAATGAGCATCATTTTGCTTCTGTTTTTGCGATAATCTTAAACATTTTTTTGACTTGCAAACAATCAAATTCGTTTATAGGTGTATTCAAACAAATACTTTAACCTATAATTATTGGTAATGTAGCTATAACTCCTAATTAAAGTAAACAAATTAAATTTTACACATTCATAAAGTTAATTTTTCCTGTTTTTAACAAAATAAAATCGTTTTTAATAAAATATAACATTTATGTCAATATAATTTAAACATTATTAGCAGGGCCGGCTTAAGGCAATTCTGCGCCCTAGGCACTTAAAATTTGGCGCCTATTACTAGATACTATACTTACGGGGCCCAGGGCAAATTTTAGAAATGCTTATCAGAGACACCTCAATCTGTTATCTTAAGGGCGCCCGGGCTTACTAACCAAACTAGGTTTATTAAAAACATAAATAACATACAAACATAATAAATATAATGTTCATAAAAAGTGTAAATGTTAAAATTTATTTATAACCATGGAGCCTATATGCATTTAACGCTAACAATAATTAATCGTTTTTAATTCTTGCGGCCAACAGCAAATTTGTTGTTGGCCGCAAGAATTAAAAACGATTAAAGAAATTAGTTACTTATTCCTCTTAGAAACAGTAAAAGATCTTAAATTATTTAAACTTTAACCATTTAAGTAGTAAAAAATAACTATTTAAAAGTGAAAACGACTATTTTAGTAGTAAACAATGCTGATACTAATTCAAATAATAGAATTTTGACAATTTCATTTCAAGAGTACATAACCATATTTGGTAAATTATAATTATATAGTTAAAATAAACTTAAACTGGTTAATTAGGTAAAGTTTAAGTTGACTTAGGGCCGGTTTATCAATGTCCAGTTAAAGTTGCAGTTAGTTATCTGGCAGATAATCTCCATGGATACCATTGTTCTCACAACGATCGATATGGAACTGTCAGATAGACTAACTGGAACTAAACCAGATATTGATAAACCAACTATTGATAATAGTTAAAAAGTAGTTAAAAAAGGGTAAACTAAACCAAAAACTACCAAATATTAAAAAACACCTTGAAAAAGTGAATTTGCGGCAAGCTTTTGTCTTTTGTCGGCTTTACACCGCGTTATTACAAAGCACGCCACATTTTTATAAAATAATAAAAACAGTAAAGAATATATTATTTTCACCCATAATATAACAAGTGGTATGATTATCATCGATGATATTTTCGAATTGAAACCGAGCTGCAGATTTCACGAGTCCGCAGGACGAGTGAAATGTGCTGCTTCGGTTTCAATGAGTAAATATCTTCGATTATTAATCATACCACGAGTTATATTTAGTGAGAAAATACAATGAATTTTAGAATTAAAAAATTGTCAGATTGACATTTAAAATTAAAATGTGCTTTAAAATATAAAAAGACTTTAATAAACCTTATTTATTCAAACTTACCTTAATTTCATTATCGTTTACACCAACACATCGATCTTTTAGAGTTTATAATTCATTATTTTATTGATATATATCAAACACAGAATTTAAATGACAACCAATGTTAAATCAAGAAAAGTGTCAAAATCCTTAGTAACGTGTAAACAAGATGATAAAAAATATTGCCGCTGGGATAAAATGCGGAACTATGGAATGCTGGCATTTTATTGGTTCTAATATTAATGAATTGTATTGTCATAATTGTATAATGTTATTTTTTTTTATTTTTGAGAATTTTTATTTTTTAGTTGGTTGGGGACAATGCGCCTATTTCTTCGTGGCGCCTAAGGCAATTGCCTTGCCTGCCTAATGGGTAATATGGCCCTGATTATTAGATTGATTTAAATGTTTTCATAATATTTATTAAGTATAAGTACTTTATATGTATGATAAAAGTTGCTATTCTCGGAAAGATCCTCTTTAAAAATATAAAAATAATAATTTGCCTATCTTAGCAAAGATAATACTGATAGGTATAAAGTTTAAAATATAAATATATACCCATAAAGATAAATATACCTATATAAAAATATATATTAAAGGTGTATCCCTAGTATAGTTAAATAGTTAAAAAAATGAAATCTTTTGCAATACTTTGTGTTTCTTTGGCGGTTGTTGGTCAGGTTTTTTGCAATCTTAAGGATACAGATGTCCAAGTAGGAGATTGTGATGGGACTGGTCCCATTGTTTATGAAGAAATTATGAATGTACAATTGTCAATTGATTCGATAGTTATAGAAACGGTAAGTATAACTATTTTTTTTTATTATTATTAATATTTTAAAGTGTGAATTCATTTTTATAGGTATTTACTTATTTTGGTACTTCAAAAACCCTTTAAATCTTACCTACCTATACATTTACTTTGTTAAAGTTTGAAATCTGATCTGATATTTAGTTTTTGTCGGTTTTCTAATTTTACATCATATTGGCTTGTGTAGGAGTACTGTAAATACCATTATCTTAAAATATTTTATTTTTTAGAAATTTATCTGCACACCAGACGTTAGTTTAGTACTTAAATGCATCGAAATTAAAGACCTAAGGAACGATGGAACTAACGGACAAGCCAGAGTATCTGCAGGAGGGCCAGGAGAACCTTGCGCTACTTTAGAGTTTACATCACAAATAAATACAGGCATGGACTTTGGTATTACTGTTTGGGGCATGAACAACTCTTTGACATTTTAATAAATTGTGTATTTAAAAATGTTAAGCTTCTTAACAATATTACAAATGTAATATATTTTATATGTATACGGGGCTTTTAATTAAAAACTAGCCACCCTTAATTTAAATTTTGAGTTATAGTAAATATGATCTTGAACAAACACAGGTCAATTTAGTTGCCTAGTATAAATCCAGTGTTAATTTTTTTTTTGTTGTACCCTCTCACCTCCAGCTACGATTACTAAAAAATTTTAAATGGCACCCTATACCTTGCGATACATAGTTTTTAAATGTCTGATCCATTGAAGTTAAAACAATTAAAATACGATTACAGATTTGAAAGCCAAGCCAAAAAAAGTGTGATATAGGTATAAAAAAAAATAATTTCATAAAAAAAAATATTTTAAATGTTTAAAATGTGCTCCGTTTTTTGCTAAACAATACTACAATCTGTTCTTAAACTCTTGTAGAACTTTTTTTAACCTGTCAGAAGTTATCTGCCTACATTGAATTATCTATTCTTCGTTTGAGTTCTTGAATGTCCTCAGGTGGTGTTTTGTAGACTTGTGTTTTGTGGCGTTAAATCTGGATATATTGCCGGCCATTCTTGAGGACCTCTTTCACCAATACATTTCTCGGAAAACATTTGGTCCAACCATTTTTTGACTACACTGTTCAAAATTTCATGACCATTTTAACACCTAATTAATACCATACATGGTCTATATCGATACAAACCAAAATGGTGTAAAATATGGTTCGTTGGTCCAGTGTAAATTCAAATACTAAAATGGTGTATATTTAACTTTCACACAGTATTAAAATAAATAAACCTGGTGTAAATTGAACTCCTTTTCAGTAATATTATGTGTTTTTGGTCAAATTATATCATAGGTACTACACAAAAAAAAGGAAACAGGAAGTTCCTTGACGCATTACAAGTATATTACCAGTGGTATTATTCCAGAAAATTGAACTTTCAACTCGCTAGAGATAATGTTTTAGTGCGTTCCACCAATTTAAAATACTTCAAGTAGTTTCCACCTATTTAAGGTCTCTTTAGTATCGAACAACTTGTAGTGTCACACCAAAGCAAAGGACTACCTGAGCTTATATACACTTTATGTAAGATAACAGAAGCAAGAACATCACGTGATCTACACCACCTTTGCCGCAATCGGTACACACTATGCAACCAGGAATGCACGGCAAATTGTTTTAATCGTTTTAACAGAGTGCTATAGGTTGAAGTAACTCTTATTTTACAAACAACATATTTAATAAACTGAACCATACAGCGGGTTGGTTTCACTGAAGTTTTCTGGGTTAATTTAACCAATTTAAAAAAAATAAAATATCTATCTGGTTTAGTACCGTCAAACTAATCTTTGTTTATATTAACCTTCCCACAGTTGATTTAAATAAATACTTATGGGTCAACTAAATTAATATGGTTAAATTAACTATTCCTTTTTTTCTGTGTAGGTGCACTTCTCAAATATTTTTAGATAAACACCGTTTTGGTGTTTGCTGTATATAACATTTTCAACCATAATTCATCGTGTTCATATTAACACCACTTGGTGTTGGATTTTGACACCATTTTAAGATTACTCTTTACACCACATATATTTTAAACAGTGTAGTAAAGCATAATGAGGAGGAGCTTCATCCCTTTGAAATTACAAATTTATAAAGGGTGTTTCTAATATCTTTGTATTTTGACCTGATACAGCTAAACCAATCACGGATTTGTAATCTACGACCAAAAATTAAGTTTACGTGTCCGAGCGTTTAGCTGTAATATTTTCACCTCCCTACAGTGTAATTATTCAAATATTACATTACATAGTTGTCAAAAATACAAGACGCTTTGATATTTATTACTACTGAAAGTTGTATAAGTCTTTGAGCCCGGTGTAACCTGGTGGTGTGTAAAAGAATGTTAATTCAAAATTTGGTGCAGAGGAAACTTCCTCTCGCCTAAAATAGAGTTGGATAAGAACAATGTAACATAATATAGAGTACAAAAAATTAAATTTTTTTGAAAAAGTGTCCTAAATAAAAGAAGACTTGTTTTACTTATGAAATGGCCAAAAACTACATTATAATATCTGAAATATGTTTTAAGCTAAGAATTAGCACAACTTATTTATTTTTATTTATTTCAAACTAAGTAAAATATAACAATACCTGTAAAATTATTTAAAACAATTATAAACATAGATGACTATCAAAATATATGTTAAGTTAACTTGTATCCTTGATATCTAGGGATGTAATATATGGCATGACATATTAGATTAGTTTACTCTGCGTAACTAAGAGATTGTCCATCTTCCGTTTTCCTTGAAATGAGACCTGATTTTTGCTACAGAATGCTAAGTTAAGCAATTCTATGTATTTGTCGCTGTTTTATGCACATAGGACTTTGTTTATGTTACACGATCAAGAAGCTGTTTCTTAATCTCCACCAATCAATACCATGTTAATCGTTACATATAAAACAATTGCAAGGATCAATGCATTTCAGTTGTTTGTTAGGTTTAACTCGTTTAATTTGTTAATATATTTAAATCATGTTAATTTCGGTAAGGTTTATTTTTATTATGATTTTTATAATATAAATAATAATATATAATAGAATATAGTGGGTAACTTAAGGTTTGGAAAAAATTAAGTGTTTGAGTCCTTGGTAATTTTTTTGTACTATTTTAGTATGTTAAGTTAATAATTAAAATTGAAAAAAAAATATGTTTAACATAATTTAAACCGAATTAATAAATATTCTAAACTGTTAATTTAGTAGTTTGGCACTTTAAATTATAAAGATGAAAAAATAATTTCTTGTCAAAAATACTATGCTTAATTATTAGTTTCCTGGCTTGTCCCACAACAACAAAATGTAGTCAAAGTAGTCATTTAAATAATTTATTATAATAGTAAAAAAATCAGTAATTTCAAAATATTTTAACTAATTCACTTAACATAGACTAAAAGATTTTATATTTCATATCGTAGGCTAAATTTCACAACTAGGCTCATTTTTGTTTCTAGTTTTTAGAACTATCCATATACATATTATGAGTTTTAAAATTTTCATCTTTATAAACAAAAAATAATAAAATACTAATTTTGTCAATTTCACTGTTATAACCTACACAAATGTTTTATTAATATTATAAAAAAACATTGGACTAACAATATTTATTTCATATAATATTAATTTTTTAAATGTACTTAATACTTAATAAAATTACCTACTTTTTTAAAAGTATTGAAGATGTAATCTGTATTTGATATATTTTTTTAATAATAAAAGGGATTACTTTTTAAATAATTTTGATTTGTTTTCTATTTTAATACTATTTAAAACTTCTTAAAATGTTTAGGTCATAGCAGGAGTTCTCCTGTCATTAATTTCATGTGTATCGGCAAAGCCTGGCTTATTACCCGGTTTAGATTTTTTACCAGGACCTATACATGAACCATTATATGGCCCACCATTGGGTAAGTTTTAAAAGATGAATGATAAGCGGAATATAACATGATATTTTTTTTAGCGTATAACAATTTTTGTATACCACGATAAGTCTATATAGAAAGACTTTATTTTTTACGCAGTTCAAAAGTCGAATTATTATACACCGCCGTACAATAATGAAAATGCATTGAAAATACATTAAAAGCAGGATTTTTCAAAAATAGTTAAATTAACTATATTTATTAAATCTTTTTATAAATACAAATAATCCAATTATGTAAAAAACTAAATTTTTATAATAAATTTTATCAGAACGACAGTAGTCATATACTTTTAATTTAAATATAAAAATTAACTGTTGTAGAATTCAAAAATAGTACAATATCTAACAGGAAGAGAAAGTGCTTATTTAAATGCAAGCTTAGTGTTCGCTGCCGAGGCCTTAGCCGAGGCAGATCTAAGCGTGGCAGTTAATTTGTTTCACGGGATGACGAAATAAATACTGGTTTACTGTGTTTATTATCCAACAACTTTTAGACCGATCCAACCTCACTTTCTTGTATAGTCTGAATCACATTTGGAATTGCATATTCGGAACATGCTGTATTTTAAACTTTTTACAGAATATACTATTAATCGCCGTATTGCATATACTATTTTTTAAGCATTTAATAATTCTGTTATAACATTAAAATTATCAAGTTTACGACATTTTGTCAGGTTTGACGTTTGACATATGTTATATTACAGGTCACAAAAATAGGTTATACAGGGTGTCCCACAATTAGTGCGACAAAATGAAGGTGTATTATCTAAAGACCCCCAGGAACTCCAAAAAATTGTTTAAAAAATTCTTTCTTCATTATTTAATAAGATACAGGGGAGTCATATTTTATTTATATGGCAACATTGCCTCATAACAAAGTAATACTTTAATTCTTAATCATCATGACAACAAACAACAATGTTAGAAAATGCCAAATTTAAATGTCAAAATTTGTTACTTTAAGTTATAGGTTATTTATTTTACGTCAGACAGGGACTTTTCTATCCAGTCTGACGTAAAATAAATAACCTATAACTTAAAGTAACAAATTTTGACTTTTAAATTTGGCATTTTCTAACATTGTTGTTGGTTGTCATGATGATTAAGAATTAAACTATTACTTTGTTATGAGGCAATGTTGCCTTATAAAGAAAATATGACTCCCCTGTATCTTATTAAATAATGAAGAAAGAATTTTTTAAACAATTTTCTGGAATTCCTGGGGGTCTTTAGAAAATACACCTTCATTTTGTCGCACTAATTGTGGGACATCCTGTATACATGCATTTATTCTACAGTGACCTGTAAGTTTACATTTTCTTTGCTGATTTCGAGCTAATTTCATTATTATACGGCGGTGTATAATAATTTAACTTTTAAACTACATACAAATATAAAATCTTTCTATATAGGTTAATGAGTGTTATAATATGAAAATTGTTATACGCTTGAAACAAAATATAATTATTATGCTATAAATGTGTTTTCTCT